CTCCGGTGCGCTCCCGCAGGAAATGACCCCTGATTACCACACAGATGTGGAAGCTGACTGGATGACCTTGGGCCAGTGGTTCTGTCAACCGAAGCTGCCTCACCCAAAGATGAAATGCAATGTTCCCTCTAAGCTGAGTGAGTGTGAGCTAGCTCAGTTTTTTTAGCCTCCAGCTCACACATTTTTGTCTCAGCTCAGGAAGGAGGGCTCCAGAGCAAACTAACTGATGCCGTAGCCAAGTCGCTCCCTCACAACTTCAATGCCAGCAGCTCACAAAGTAGAATTTTTGCTCACAAGACTCCACAGCTTAGAGGGAGCATTTGGCTGGGACAGAACCGTGTATGTCGCTCTGAGCACTTCGGCAAAAGGACTGGATTAAAAAACAGTAAAAATTCATAAAGGCACGTGAGCCCATCTGTTCAGATACGCATGGACCTTTCTGCATGTTAGGTTGATGTCATAAGCTCCTCCCTTTCATGAGGCCTCCCTGCTGCCTTTAAGCTGAAAGGACATTGCGGAGCTGGAAGAAGGACAGAGGAGGGCGACCAAGATGGTGACGGGGTCGGAGCACCTCCCCTGTGAGGAAAGGCTGAAGAGTCCGGGACTTTTCAGTTCAGGAAAGAGACGACTCAGGGTGTTTATAAAATGATGCATGGGGTGGAGGGAGTTGACAAAGAGAACTTTTTTCTCCCTCTCCCAAAAGACTAGAACTCGAGGGCATCCAACGACGCTCATGGGCAGTAGGTTCAGGACGGAGAAAAGGAAATACTACTTTACGCAGAGTGATTAAAATGTGGATTCACTGTCAGGGGATGTCACAATGGCCACCAGAATAAACAGCTTGAAAGGGGGATTAGGTAGATTCGTGGAGAATAAGTCTATTAATGGCTACTAGCCATGGTGACTGAGAGGAACGTACACATTCAGAGGCACTAATCCTCTGAATCCCAGAGCCAGTAGGCAACATCAGGGGAAGGCCTCGGTTTTGTGTTGAGAGCTAGTTTGCTGTAGTGGTTAAATGCATGGACTCTAATCTGGGAAAACCGGGTTTGATTCCCCCACTCCTCCACTTGCAGCTGCTGGATGACCATGAGCAAGCCATAGTTCTGTCAGAGCTGTTCTCTCAAGGACAGCTCTGTCAGAGCTCTCTCAGTCCCACCTACCTCACAGGGTGTCTGTTGTGGGGAGGGGAAGGGAAAGGAATTGGTAAGCTGCTCTGAGACTCCGAGTGAAGGGTGAGGTAGAAATCCAATCTCTTCTTCTTTTTCTTCTTCTATATCCTGTTATTGGCCATCCAGAGGAACTTGGTTTGCCACTGTGTGAGACAGGATGCTGGACTAGATGGACCCTCACTGGTCTGAACCAGGAGGGCTCTTCTGATGTTCTTCTCAGGGGAAGGCCTCGGCCTCTCTGCCCTGTTGTTGGCCCTCTAGAGGAACTTGGTTTGCCACTGTGTGAGACAGGAAGCTGGACTAGATGGACCCTCACTGGTCTGATCCAGCCATGCTCTTATAACGTTCTTGTGTTCTGAACATCTATGAGGACTAGAAACGTTAGTATTTAGTACTCTTTTTATTTTAAAGAATGAGCCATTCGGAAATCAGATGGCTGTTCAGGGAAGCAGAATTCTACAGTCATGGAATTCCATACGTGATCATCCCAGGCGCCTTTCAAAGAGAACATGTGGTTTACCTTCCTTTTAAGGTGGCAGCCGTCGATCTTCTAGTACCAGGAATTGGGGAGCTTTGCGGTGGCAGCTTAAGAGAGGACCGTCTGGATTTCCTGCAGTCCCGCCTACGGAGGTACAGAGAATTCCTGCATTTGGCTTATTGGGGATGGAAATAAAGTAGCCTGGCATTTGTTCAAGTGGAGGTTTATCAAGGTTAATTGATATTTAAAGGGGAGAGAAGGATAAGCGTTCAGACAGAACAGATGCTCCTTTAGGGATGTGTTTAGCCGGGTCCCAGTCTTGCTAATCTGTTGCTTTATCCGTTACGGAAAAACGCATTGCGTGCCTCCTCCTAGAAATTTCCTCAGGTCTCCATGCAAGGTGCGATGCAGGAACACCAATATAATCCTTGCTCACAAATTAGCACAGAGGGGAGGACAAGCAGTTTTGTCTGAAATCGATCAGACAAGCTTCTAAAGCTTTTAATTCTCAGTTCGCTTGAGTGCGTGTTTACAACAACAAAAAGGACCCCCTCTGTCTAAATTAAGATAGAAATGCAAGAGTACACTGTGATGGGGAAGAACTGCCAGGTGGGGGATGTAAATCAGCTGAGGCAAATCATTTGCCTGTAGGAATAAGAAAACACAAACTCTGCACGGTTACTAGCCAGTAGGTCCTGGAGGAAGATGTTCTGCAAGACCTGGATAAAACTATCACCTGGTCTCTATGCATAAGCAAACCCCAATAATTAATGACTCAAGTGGGCTGCGGTGACTCAAGTGGTTAAGACGTGTGTGTAGTGCCTTCATGAGGGCTGCCATGGCTCAAGTGGTTAAGACGCTGAAGCTGCAGACTGGAAGGTCGGTAGGTCAGTGGTTCGAGACCCGAGTGCCGCATGACGCAGTGAGCTCCTGTCTCTGGTCCCAACTCCTGCCAGCCTAGCAGTTCGAAAGCAAGAAATTGCAAGTAGATAAATAGGTTCCGCTTTGGCCGAAGCCATCATAGATTTGAAGGTGTGCTGCGGGACTCTTGGTCTGTTGCAGCACAAATGATGAAGAGAGTTTAATTCTCTGGAATCTGTCACTGTGGCCGATGCTGGCCAAAGCCATCATAGATTTGTGGCTCTTGAAGGTGTGCTGCAGGACTCTTGGTCTGTTGCAGTACAAATGATGAAGAGGGTTTAGTTCTCTGGAATCTGTCACTGTGGCCGATGCGTTGAAAATAATTATTTGTGTTGGTTCCACAGGATGGGACAGGAAGACGCCTACCAATGGTAAGCACAGCAAAACAATGCATGCAATGTGTCATTTATTGTGTGTGTGAGAGAGAGAGAGAACAAACACATTCACAGTCTTGTTGCGTGGTGCACCAGATTTAGGCAGGCCCGTAGCTATGGTGGGGCATTTGGGGGCTTGGCCCCCTTTCTTAAAGGCACAGCCCCACAAGAATTATAAATGCTTTTTAATAATTTTTTAAAAAAATTAAAGGCGTGCGCTCCTTTAAGCAGAGTGGGGTGGTGTAGTTGACTAATTCCCGCACTGGGCCAAGGGGGTTGGAGTAGGTGACCTCTAGGATCCCTTCTAGCTCTGTGCCACCTGCCGGCTTGTTATCAAAATGGTTGCTCAGGGTGGCAAAAGTGATTAACTTGCAGCAGCTCAGAACTGTCATCTAAAGTGGTCGACAGCTTCCAATGTAGGGATCTATCCTGGTAACAGCTTTCCATTGGCCAAATGTCTTTTCTTCCTGCACTGAGAACTTCAGCCCCACCAGAAAAGAAATTTGCTCCACAAGCCACCAAATCCTGGCTAAGGGCCTAGTTTTTGTTGGTGGCAGAGGAAAGCTCCGTCAAGTCGCAGCTGACTCATGGGAACACCACAGGGTTTTCAAGGCAGGAGACGAACAGCGGTTTGCCATTGGCTGCCTCTGCATAGCGACCCTGGACTTCCTTGTTGGTCTCCCATCCAAGTACTAACCCGGATCTTACAAGATTAGGTTAGCCCAGGCCATCCAGGTCAGGGCCGGTTAGGGTACTGGTACCCAAGTACCACTTTCTGCACATTTTCCAATGTACCCAACAGGCAAAGCAAGCAGATGGTGGACCCATCATGCCAAGTTTAATAAAAATGGAGAGAAAACAAAAAATTTGAGTAGGTTCCGAAAGCCAACAATGGGTGGTGTTTATTTGGGAGGAGAGAGGTGGGCATTTGTAGCTTTTGTTTCCCCCAAGTTGTGAGAATAAAAGTGTAAATAGGTTGTCTGAAGAATTTTGATAAGTAATGAAACCCATTTGTCCCTCTTGGCCAAAGTAAACAGTACAAGGGAGACGTGTGAATACCCTCCATTATGTTTGTTTTTAAATTAAAAAAAATAGGTACAGAGTGGTTAAAAGGCAGGGCCTGAAGCTTCCCCTCCCACTTTTTTCCTTCTCAGAATCATTCTAAGCCTCAGTTCGCTCAAACTAATTTGAGTAGAGCCTCCATATAATCAGAAGCGTCTACCTGCCTGTAGTAGTTATTGGTTCTAAGAGGTGCTGCAGGGAGCCATCCTGAATAGAACTGTGTGAAAGTAGGTCCCATTTTATTTAGTGCAACTCACTCTCAGAAAAGTATTTGTACGATGGGAGTTACAGTCCGGTCAGAAGCCTCTGTCAGCCTGTAGTAGTTATCAGTTTCAACAGGTGCTAGAGGGAGCCATTCTGTGCAGGTCTCTGTGAAAATAGTTCCCATTTTATCCAGTGAGGTTTACTCTCATAGCCTGGCAGCTGCAGTCAGGTTAGAAGCCTCCAAGTGCCTGTAGTAGTTATTCATTTCAACAGGTGCTACAGGGAGCCATTTTGAGCAGGCCGATGTGAAAACAGGCCGCATTTTATCCAATGGGGCTCATGCTCAGGACAGTGTTCTTCGGATGGTAGCTACAGTCATGTCAGAAGCCTGCATCTCATGGAGGACAATGTTTTAGAGACTCTAGTCTGTGCAAGAACTAAAGAACAGGAAGTCCTGTTTCAGTCAGGAGGGATGTGCCGCAGACGGGAAATACGGTGTGTAATTCCTCTGCCGGTTTGCACTCCAGGTACCTCGAGCTGCGTCAGTTTGGATCAACCCCCCACGGAGGCTTCGGAATGGGGTTTGAGCGTTACCTCCAATGCATTCTGGGAGTCGAGAACATCAAAGACGTCATCCCTTTCCCCAGGTTTCCCCACTCGTGTGTTTTGTAGCGCTTCCCCTCCGTCTCTGAGGACGGGACTCCTCTGCAAATCGGTGGCCTGCCTGGGTGATAAAATGGAGCTTTCCTGGAAAGAACAGACCCCTCTTTTTTCCCCCCGCCTGCACCAGATAATCTTAGCAGTCTTGAAAGCGTGACGTTTGGAAGCCAAGGCGAGTTGATATTCCTCTGAAATCTACAGAGCACTTTGTGTAGTCTTGATGGGTAAGTTCCAAAAGCCAGATAACCGTGATTCAGCCACAACTGGAATGAATAAAACAACATTTTGCCAGGAGTTCGTTAATTTGTAATGGTGGTTTTGGCTGAACTCAGGCTTCCGCGTTGGGAAGGACAAGGAAGCTACATTAGTTGGAGGCACCACGGCCCGGAGGTTTGAGAAGTTATGAAAACTGCAGTACTGTTGCTATTCTTGCGATGAGCGGCCCGCCCCCAGGTTACACAAGCCTGCGCTGAGATCGGAGATGACACTCTGATGAGCGAAATATCGGGGTGAGCATCAACGAATGAGTACCTGAATGTGGTTTTCTTTCCCCCTGCATTAAAATTGGAGGGACAACTCATCCTTACACCCACAGAGCCTTTGCTTTTTGGATAGTGTGAACAATATGAACTTACCTGCCTTCCTCCCCTGCAATTCCGCATGAGTCACAGTTCTGAGTGTGCCTCATGATTGGAAAGAGGTCATCCCAGAGCAGAGACTCATGCAGGGGGGCCATTACCCACCTTTTGCAGGTGGGTAGTTTGAGCAACTGTCTTAATCAGGGCAGGGTCAAGTGGCTAGCCGTGTTAGTCTGCAGTCATAAAACAAAACCCAAGTCCAGTAGCACCTTTAAAGCAGCCCTGTAGCAAGATGATTTTCGCTGGGGGAGGGCACTGAATGGAGGGGTGGTGGGGCAGAAGCATTTTGCTTAATACTGAGCGGCTAAGTATATGTCCAGGCAGTGTTTTGAAATGAATGGAATGGAATGGAATGGAATAGAATAGAATATATCCAGGCAATGTTTTGAAATGAATGGAATGGAATAGGAATGGAATAGGAATGGAATAGGAATGGAATGGAATGGAATGGAATGGAATGGAATGGAATGGAATGGAATGGAATGGAATGGAATGGAATGGAATGGAATGGAATGGAATAGAATAGAATAGAATAGAATAGAATAGAATAGAATAGAATAGAATAGAATAGAATAGAATAGAATAGAATAGAATAATGTCCAGGCAGTGTTTTGAAATTAATTAGAAGAGAAGAGAAGCTGAAGTAGGAAATACAAGTTGGAGATGTGCGGGTTGATCTCGGTTGCCTTTATCTGCTTTTGGATGCCTGGATAACCGAGAAAGGGTCTTTATTGACAGTCCACCTCAAATACCCAGTCCTGAGGGCCCCTTCCCATTCAGGTCCACCTCACAACTCCGAGGAATGCTCCACAAGAGCAGACCCAGAATGCACCCCATCACCAGCCTGCCCACCCGGGCCCCCGGCATCGTGCCCCCTCCCTCCCCCCCTCTGCAAAGTCTGTCATGGGCCGACAGGGAGGAGTAGGCCCTGTGCAACCCAGAGTGCCACCAGCGGCGTCTGCACGCCACACATGCTTGGAGAGGTTGGCCAGCGCACCCTAGCCTCGGCGGTCTTACCTGGGCGCCGGACAGATGTTCCTCCCACAGGGACTAAGCTCCTACTATAAGCTTTGGGGATGTGTTCTAGAATGCTAGCAAGGGGGGGGGTGTCAACTTTTTTAAAGCATGTGCCGGAATCGAGGCCCGCATGGGAACCCTGGCAAGAAGGAAGCCCTGCTTCTGCAGATGGAATGGACCGCAGTCTGCTTAGGCATTGAGGGAATTACACTCTGTACGCGCCCAGAGTTACTTTATGTTCTAATGTGTCAGATCCTTCTCCTTTAGCCGGAAGGCCATAGATTTTTTTTTTTTAAGTGCTAAATGGATGTGAGTAAAGGTTTGCAGGATGGAGCTAGTGTCTTGTAGTGGTTAGAGCAAAAAAAAAGCCAGGATGGGAAAGACCCGGGTCCAAATTGCACACAGCTGTGATGCTCACAGGCTGGTCAGCCTCCCTCGGTTGCACCTTCACAAGCAAAAGGAAATACTTCTTTACACGACAAATGATTAAAAGGTAGAATTCGCTGCCGGAGGATGTCGGTTATGGCCACTGGCATAGACAGCTTTAAAAGGGGATTAGACGGCTTCATGGAGGAGAGGTCTGTCACTGGCTACTAGCCATGCTGAGTAAAGGGAACCTCAACATTCGGAGGCAGTCAACCCCTGGATCCCAGAGCCAAGAGGCAACATCAGGGGAAGGCCTGGGCCTCTCTGCCCTGTTGTTGGCCCTCCAGAGGAGCTGGCTGGCCCCTGTGTGAGACAGGATGCTGGACTCGATGGACCACTGGTCTAAATCAACAGGGCTCTTCTGATGTTCTTCTCAGGGGAAGGCCTCGGCCTCTCTGCCCTGTTGCTGGCCCTCCAGAGGAACTGGCTGGCCACTGGGTGAGGCAGGAGGCTGGACTAGATGGCCCCTCCCTGGTCTGATCCAGCAGGGCTCTTCTGAGGTTCTTATCAGGGGAAGGCCTCGGCCTCTCTGCCCTGTTGCTGGCCCTCCAGAGGAACTGGCTGGCCACTGGGTGAGGCAGGAGGCTGGACTAGATGGCCCCTCCCTGGTCTGATCCAGCAGGGCTCTTCTGAGGTTCTTATCAGGGGAAGGCCTCGGCCTCTCTGCCCTGTTGCTGGCCCTCCAGAGGAACTGGCTGGCCACTGGGTGAGGCAGGAGGCTGGACTAGATGGCCCCTCCCTGGTCTGATCCAGCAGGGCTCTTCTGAGGTTCTTATCAGGGGAAGGCCTCGGCCTCTCTGCCCTGTTGCTGGCCCTCCAGAGGAACTGGCTGGCCACTGGGTGAGGCAGGAGGCTGGACTAGATGGCCCCTCCCTGGTCTGATCCAGCAGGGCTCTTCTGAGGTTCTTATCAGGGGAAGGCCTCGGCCTCTCTGCCCTGTTGCTGGCCCTCCAGAGGAACTGGCTGGCCACTGGGTGAGGCAGGAGGCTGGACTAGATGGCCCCTCCCTGGTCTGATCCAGCAGGGCTCTTCTGAGGTTCTTATCAGGGGAAGGCCTCGGCCTCTCTGCCCTGTTGCTGGCCCTCCAGAGGAACTGGCTGGCCACTGGGTGAGGCAGGAGGCTGGACTAGATGGCCCCTCCCTGGTCTGATCCAGCAGGGCTCTTCTGAGGTTCTTATCAGGGGAAGGCCTCGGCCTCTCTGCCCTGTTGCTGGCCCTCCAGAGGAACTGGCTGGCCACTGGGTGAGGCAGGAGGCTGGACTAGATGGCCCCTCCCTGGTCTGATCCAGCAGGGCTCTTCTGAGGTTCTTATCAGGGGAAGGCCTCGGCCTCTCTGCCCTGTTGCTGGCCCTCCAGAGGAACTGGCTGGCCACTGGGTGAGGCAGGAGGCTGGACTAGATGGCCCCTCCCTGGTCTGATCCAGCAGGGCTCTTCTGAGGTTCTTATCAGGGGAAGGCCTCGGCCTCTCTGCCCTGTTGCTGGCCCTCCAGAGGAACTGGCTGGCCACTGGGTGAGGCAGGAGGCTGGACTAGATGGCCCCTCCCTGGTCTGATCCAGCAGGGCTCTTCTGAGGTTCTTATCAGGGGAAGGCCTCGGCCTCTCTGCCCTGTTGCTGGCCCTCCAGAGGAACTGGCTGGCCACTGGGTGAGGCAGGAGGCTGGACTAGATGGCCCCTCCCTGGTCTGATCCAGCAGGGCTCTTCTGAGGTTCTTATCAGGGGAAGGCCTCGGCCTCTCTGCCCTGTTGCTGGCCCTCCAGAGGAACTGGCTGGCCACTGGGTGAGGCAGGAGGCTGGACTAGATGGCCCCTCCCTGGTCTGATCCAGCAGGGCTCTTCTGAGGTTCTTATCAGGGGAAGGCCTCGGCCTCTCTGCCCTGTTGCTGGCCCTCCAGAGGAACTGGCTGGCCACTGGGTGAGGCAGGAGGCTGGACTAGATGGCCCCTCCCTGGTCTGATCCAGCAGGGCTCTTCTGAGGTTCTTATCAGGGGAAGGCCTCGGCCTCTCTGCCCTGTTGCTGGCCCTCCAGAGGAACTGGCTGGCCACTGGGTGAGGCAGGAGGCTGGACTAGATGGCCCCTCCCTGGTCTGATCCAGCAGGGCTCTTCTGAGGTTCTTATCAGGGGAAGGCCTCGGCCTCTCTGCCCTGTTGCTGGCCCTCCAGAGGAACTGGCTGGCCACTGGGTGAGGCAGGAGGCTGGACTAGATGGCCCCTCCCTGGTCTGATCCAGCAGGGCTCTTCTGAGGTTCTTATCAGGGGAAGGCCTCGGCCTCTCTGCCCTGTTGCTGGCCCTCCAGAGGAACTGGCTGGCCACTGGGTGAGGCAGGAGGCTGGACTAGATGGCCCCTCCCTGGTCTGATCCAGCAGGGCTCTTCTGAGGTTCTTATCAGGGGAAGGCCTCGGCCTCTCTGCCCTGTTGCTGGCCCTCCAGAGGAACTGGCTGGCCACTGGGTGAGGCAGGAGGCTGGACTAGATGGCCCCTCCCTGGTCTGATCCAGCAGGGCTCTTCTTATGTTTCTAACAGGATATAAATTAACAAGGTCAGCCCAGATATTTTTCCTGCTTCCTTGTACCTCCAACTCCTTCACAGTTTCTACCTTGTCGTCAGTGTCTTCTAGACGCCGTCAGGTGTGTTGTGTCAGCCAATCACGGTCAGCTTCCGTTATACAGATTGGCTTGTGTACCAGACAATGGTTCGATTTTAGGAATCCCGGCAAAAGCAAAAGAAAACCTAAAAAGGGAGAATGAAGAAATCAATTTGAAAACTGCAGGCTTTTCAGTGTTTGGTTCAGAACGGCCAGGTGTGTTTTCTTCAGTGCCATAAACCTGGGAAATTCTAGATCTCATGGATTTAAAAAAAAACCCTGTAGCCGGCACTGCCGGAACCGAGCAATTTGCAGCTATCGGAGTTTCCACTGCCGTTGCGCTCTTTCACATTCACCAGTACCAGAAATCCCCACTTGTCCCAGTATGCCCCAGGCAGGTAGAGGCCTCGACTCTTGGCGCCAGTTGCTAACAGGCTCCAGAAATTAGGACAGTTGCTTCAGACTGATTGCTCTCTTCAGTTCCCCAATTTGCATCGTTAAGCTAACGATCCCTTGACATAAGGCATTGTTTGTGGAACTTAATTAATCGGTGCAAGAGCGGCCCGTCATCTGCCAGAGTGGAGCCAGGAATAAAAGGTTCCACCTGCTGGAAGCCTCCCCCGGAAGGCGCATGGTTTGCCTTCTTGAGACGGACAGAACAAGAAATGTGAATAATGCTCAGTGATATAGGCAGGGTTACTGAATCTGGGTTGGGGGATTTCTGGAGACTGGGGGGTTCAGCCTCAGGGGGTTGGGGAGGGGCCTCAGTGAGGTAGAATGC